TACAGGTGAGGCCCGGCCTGGCGGGCCCGGCGGACAGGTGGAGGCGCTGGCCATGTGGCCTCTGGCGAGAGGGACAGGTGTGCGCGGTGAGGGTCGGGTTTGGAAGACAAGAGTAAACTCATTATGGAAAATCGACCTACTTGATAGTTACAGTTATGGGTTCACCTTTATTAAGCTCTTAAAGTAGGGGATGGGGTTTTTCCCCCCCGGAAATGCTCAGAAATTGCCCTGAACCCCCCTCCCCCAAGGGTAAGTTAAAATGGTAGAAACAAGCATGACATCAGAGACACACGGACCCGTGTATGTATTTAAGGCTGCCAACACAGAACCACCTTTGCTTAAGCCACTTTCATAAAATCCGGATTCACCAGATAAGTTCAGAGAACCCAGCTTGGTTCCCCAAGGTATTTTTGAGGATGAAAAGTAAGGAAGCATCTGGTTTTGTGATAAGCCTTAAAAGGCAATGAGGAGAGAACTATCCCAGAGGGTGCAAGACGGTGGATGCTGTGGTGACAAGTGAGGCACCCCAACAGCACACAGTGATATTTTGTTTCAGAACTGCACCTTCTCCCATTGTCCACGCTTTCACTGCTCCACGCAGCTTCTCCGAATTTCCTTGACATCGCGGCCTTATGGTGAATGGTTAAGATGTAGAGCTATAGTTTGGATTTTGAAAGGGAAAACCAGCAAAATTTCTCCTTTATAGAGTTTTTCCTGTTGACATCTTTGATTCATACTTTTGCAAAAAAAAGTTCCCAACAGAGGATATAACGTTATATTCTATTTTGGAAGCAGAAAGGACGGTTATTTTTTTCCCAGAAGACAACTAAATGAATTAAAAAGTCAACCCCAATTACAAGGCTAATACATTTCCTTGGAGTAATTATAGTTGAGAAAGAACTCTGTTTGCCTCAGATAAACCTCTCATTATCATTCTTTTGATATCATTATCTGGGGAGAAAGCCAGGAAAAGAATTCTCCTCCCATTTTGCAGACTTAAGGGAGATCTAGGGTACGTTTCTGATACACGTGATTTCAGAGGGTAAGTTTGTTAGGCAACGACTTCCGTGCTTTCTCAGTCTCCTTGTCACACTTGTAAGGGGCGGGTAGTACCTGCCCAGCTCACCTCAAACAGCCCATGGTGCGCCTTTTCATCCCTGTGGCCATTCGCTCCACAAATATTTATTCGGTGTGGGCCTATCATGTGCTGGGTACCGCAGAGAACAGGAGAGAAGGCCCTGTCTCTTGGATCTGATGTTCTGGAGGGAGGGAGGCAGGCAGGCAGGCAGGCAGGCAGGCATTGACCAGAAACAGCAGAACTCGGTTAAGTGGACCGTGGCTAGAGCATGTAGAGGACAGGAAGCAGGTGGAGGCTGGGGCGTGGGTAGGGGGGACACACAGGCAGTCTGAGCAGGGGACACTTGGGCTGAGATCAGTGCTGTGAGGCGCCCCTGGTGGCCTGAGGAGAGAGTGTCACGGGCAGGGGAGTGGCAGGTGCAGGGGCCTGGTGTGGAATAAGTTCACCCAAGGGTGAGCAAGGCAGTGTGAGCGAGGGGAGAAAGCACAGGAGGGCCACACAGGCTGTGCACCATTCAGAGTGTATCCTGAGTGCCCAGTGGATGCCACGGAGGGCTTTGGGCAGGGGTGGGACAAGATCTGTGTCTTTTTAGAGATGACCCCGTGCTTGCCATGTGGGGAATCCGGGCCTGACAAGATTCCATGACAAACAGGGTGGAGGCAGGAGGCAAAGGAGGAACCAGGACCAAGTGTATTTCTAGAGCCAGGAGGCCTTGCTGCAGGTTTGGTTGGGAAATGTGTGGTGGGTGACTGGAGGTGCCATTTACGGAGGTGCAGGTGACGGGTGGGTGGCGACCAGGGAGGAGGGGGTGGTGACCGGGGGAATCAGGGCCCTGCAAACAGTGGCATCTTCAAACCGCCCCTCTGGGGTGGGAGAAACCCTTGCTCGGGGCCTAGAGTCTGGGTCTTCACCTTCCCTGCACACGCTGATCCTGAGGGAGGGCCCTTCCTCTCGGGGTCCATGAGAGAGCAACCCCCATCCCCAATCTGGGGGTGGGCCAGGGCCCTGGGGTGCAGAAACCTCTGGATCCAACAGATATGTGGGTGTCATGTGTGTGTCAGGGGAGTGGCTTCACTGTGGGTAAGAGACCTCAGGCTTTCGGCAGATGGAAGGCGTCCTGACGCCGGTGGAGGAGGTGGGGGCCCATGGGCGGTCACGGTGGTCGGTGATGTGTGGCTGCGGGGGATGCTGCAGTCACAGAGCTGCTCACTCCCGGTTTCTCGTCTGCAGTACCAGGCTCCCTGCACTCGCATTTGCTCGCGCACTGACAGAAACAGAGTAGGAACAGATTTGCGCGTGTGTCCGTGACAGGTGGACCGGCTGGGGAAGGGCCTCTCTGCCTCATCAAGCACGGTCTCTATGTCAGATGACTGTTTATTGAAACGTGTGCTGTCATTTTGTTCGGATCGGTGGGGTTCCAGTTATTGCAGTGCTAACTCAACCCCAAAGAAATGATCCCACGCTCTGGTCATAGAAAATCAAGATTTATTTGATTTATGTGCATAAATCGTGAGCATATTTGCAGGGCTGGACAGTAGCGTCATCTCAGGCGGGAACATGGAGCAGTGGGGTTAGGGTCTGCAGGGAGGGGGATGGAGAGCCCAAAGACGGGCCGAGAACTTCCTGACAGTTGAGGGACAGCGCGTGCCTATGCTCCGTAAACAGATGGCAGTAGCTCTCATGCTGGTGCTTGATTCCAACAGACACGTTTAGAAGAGTGACCTAACAGTTTTATTTTAAGAAGCCAATATTTATAATATGCTGGAAATTATGTCCCTTGCAGCTGTTAAAACTAGGGACGAGCAGCTTAAGCTGTCAGCTCCCATACAGGGAATGTCAGCAAAGAGGTCGGTGGTGCCTGCAGCCAGGCATCAGGTGGGGTCAGGGACCAAGGGCTGGACTGAGGGCTGGACTGGGGACACGGGCATGGGAGGCGATGTGGGGGCAGGTGCTGGGTCCAGAGGGAGAGAGGACCCAGGGGCAGCCTGGGTTACCCCCCACCCCCACCAGAGGTGGCTTTGGACAGGAGACAGGAAGGGAGGGGAGCTTAGGAAGGCACCCCCAGAGAGCCTAAGGAAGACTAGGACTTTGCAGAGGGAGGGCGTGAGGGCTCCCTGCAGAGTGCCTCCCCGCTCTGGGTGCCTAGCGCTGATGGAGGACTGGCTCATCAAGATGGAAGGCGACGTGGCTGATGGGTGCGCCTGGGTGGAGCCATGGGGGCGAATCCTCCCCTTCAAGAGAGATGGGGAGGTGAGGAAGCCAACAGAGTTCTTCCCGGGAGTTTTGCAATAGAAAGAAACAGAAATGGGGCTTTAGAGCCATGGGGGAGGTGATGTAAGGAAAACATTTTTGTTTGTTTTAATGAGTGAGCTCTAGTTGAGGCTGGTGCGAACATTCCAGGGCCGTAACTTGCTGCAGAGAGAGGTGTGTACTGAGGAGGGTGCAGGTGGCCTTGGGTCTCCCAGGGGAAAGTGGGCGTGGCAGGCCCGTGTGGGGCAGGACAGGTGTGGCCAGGAGAGGCCATCTGGATGAGGTCCTTAAGATTGGATAGGAGTTTGACAGATGGAGGGAGAGAGTTTCTGGAACAGGAAACGAGAAAAAGGGGTCATGGAGGCTGCAAGCTGGCCATGGATAATTTGGGGTGTTGAGGAACCCTTGGAGTGGTGCAGGGGGCAGCTCCAGGTCAGAGTGGGGGCCTTGCTTAGGCCTCTCATCCTCAAAAAATCCACAGAAATCCAACTCTGGACCCTCCCTGAGCCTTCCTGAGCCCGCGGGGTCGTAGTTCCTCAAACTCACATAAAATTGAAACTTGGATTTCTCAGAGATGACGCCTTTCTTTGCCTGGTCTGGGCCGTGGGTTACTGGCTTCGTTTGGCTCGTTTTTGGTGTTTAGCATGATCAGCATCTCCAGCTTACAGCTGTGAGCCTTGATGGACTGCAGATATCCGCAGAACGCAGCGCTCCAACAGCCTTCGGCCCTCCATGCGGCTGGAGGCACACTCTTCGCGAGTCGGGCATCCTCGTGTCATGATCCGCGTGGGGCTGATGCCCGGGGTGATGGGTCAGGACTGTCACTTCCCGCTCCTCTCGGGGAGGAGAGGCTGAGCCTGCAGGACAAGGAGTCTTAGAGAAGGAGTGGTCCACACGTTTCACCTTGTGTAAGGTGAATGTGTTAAATGAATGTGTTAATCAGTTATAGTATGTTTGCCTTTGATTGTGACCCAAAACATAGGGTGATTTTTAGCACCGCGTCAGTCCAGAGATTGACCGAGTCCTTGCTCTGAGCC